GGAAGCACCAGTGGGACAAGTGTAGTAGTTGTAGTGGACAGTATTTTGAAGGATATAAGGTTACTTTGTGAAAAAGTTGAAAATAAATAACTTTTAAAAATAATTCCGTTTTCTTTTGGGTACCCCCTCGTATAAACACAAAGAATTAAATTATCATCAACTCGATTAAAAATCTTGCTGAAGCCGGATAAATTTCTCTCCAAAACATCGGAAACGAAGTCAGAAAAACAATCAAATGGGTATCCAGGCCTTTTCGGACAAAAATCCATGCTGCTGCTGAATGATTACGTCTTTTACATCTAAAAGTATTTCGTTATAAATATAATGGTACTAATAAACATTATCTTGTTCCAGGTATGAACTACATCATAATACAACACAACGACAGGTAATTATGCATACGTTGTTTTCTCTTTAGATTATTTTACCCGTATCGGTACTTTTCTTACAGTTACATTGAATATGAACTGTCAGTACCTATCTTTCCAATGTATAAAATTATCTTTGTTGAGTAAAACGTTGAGGAAAACCTACCATCTCACGGGAGGTCTTTCGGTTTACGTACGCCAGTGGCAAAAATAGAACTTCAGCTTCTAATGATGCACAAGCAACAAGCAACGTGTTCATTATACTATCGCTGATGGAGCATTATACACGTTACAATTACATAATTTTGTTGAAAATTGAAATCTAAAATCGCACGTTTGCTAAGACTAGCTTTTGCCCGTGGAGACAACGGTGAATGTTTAATGCCATTATACAAAGCGTGCAGTGAGGAAATGAACAGTAAAATGGGTAGTAGAAAATAAATAATCTAAATTTACTGGTATACAGGGTGATTATCGTCGAGGGAGGTATGAAAGTGTTGCTCCACTGGCCTCACATTAAAAAACATAAGTTGAAATATCGTTGATTTTTGTCTTCAATTCTTCGAAGTTTGTTTTTTTTATGAGAACAGTGGGAGCAACACTTTTATTAACACGCTTTATTAACTTGACCTAATGTACTGAGTAGTTTTAAAATAGATTATATCCTTGGTGATTAAATATAATTTATTTGCGGATAATACCTTACAACAATGCTTGGATGTGTATGGTTTCAAGCAAATTATTGATGCTCCTACTAGAGTAACAAATAGTACCGCCAACTCTTCTGGACCCTATTTTTATTAATACCCCCAATTACTGTCACCAACTAGTTCACTTTAGATGCTAATTTGTTGTCCGATCATAAAATTGTGTGCTGTATCTTAAACATATCCCGTGTGAAACATGAACAAAAAATGATCATCTTCAGAGATTTCTCACACTTTGATGAGCAATCTTTCATTGATGACCTGGCTACAGTAATTTTATTGAAATGTGCTATATGAGGAATATTGATAATAAAGTTCAATTTTTCAGTAGCAAGTTAATTGACATCTTCAATCGTCACTCTCCTATAAGGAACGGTACGCGTGATAAGCCGAAAGCGCCGTGTTGTCATATCCGGAGACAGCTCTAAAGCGAAAAACGTGAGCATATTATTTATAACAAGATAGACAGAAGTCCAGAAAGATTCCAGTTTTTAGGGAACTTAGAAACCTTGCACTATCGTGCATTAGACATCTTGCTCACTTGGAAAAAGGCGTGATCAGAAAAAATTGTGGTATGGATTGAAAAATATGAAAGCACAGACATCTGATAAGCCACGTATTCCAAACCATCTTGCAGATTCGTTCCTTGCAAATAATTATTCAATCATTTTTTGATTCTACAAATGCTCCTGATCACGCTTTAAGGTATTATAAAAAATGTTCCGCATATTAATAAATTTTACTGATGGGTTGAGCTTGTCTATGATAAGCTCAGTCTGCCTGTTACTCTCTCTCTCTACATCACCCTCCTTGTTAATAGTTGCCTTGAAAGAGGTTATTTCCCGAAACGTGAATCGAGCAATGTGGTACCAGTTCCAAAAAAATCAAATCCAGATGAGTTTGGCTGATCTAAGACCTATAAGCCTATGCCTTGTTATCGAAGATAGTTGAAAAGGCAGCCCACATACAACTAATGCATTATGCAGAGGAACATATCATCCCATCTAATCATCTGCTTTTAGAAATCTTGCAGTACTACTACTTCCCCTTAAACTTGGTTTGATAATATTATTAGAGCAGTTGATAAAAAATGGGCGTAGCAGTGATG